ATTAGGAGGTGGGTTCGCTGTGTTTGACCGGCACAAACAGTGCCGGTCTGCCCATGTTTTTGACACGAGTGTTTGCACGCTTGGCTGGTCTATGGTCGGAATAGCCAGGTCTGACTCAACTGTACCAGTGGTCTGTACTGCTTGCAGGAATGGTCTCAGTCGTACTTCTGGTGGTCCTAGCCTTCTGCTGTGGTACCACACGTTAATTGCCATTGATGCCATCTCCGGCGTAGCCAAGGTAACTTTCAAAAATTTCGGCCCGCTCCCTTGATAGTTTGGGGAGGAAGCTAAGCGGCTGACGTCGAATGCCACAACATTCTGCATGCCATAGAGCTCTGTGATGTAGCGCCACTCATCAATATCGTGTTTTTGTCTTTCACTGGTGTCGCCATGTTTCAGTTCGGGCACACCATGAACCAAGACCACTTTCTTCATTACATTTTGACGAGACGCCCAGAAAGCGGTTTATCCGTGATGTCACCAGATTCCTTAAATTTATTGAATATGGCCACCGTCGAAAACCAATTTAAATACGTCACTAGAAGGGGATTTAGTAGGTCGCAGCTAGACTGCGGCAGAAAGCCACCATAAACCCCACGAAGCGCTAGCCGACCGTTTCGGACTGTACGTTCATAAGTTGCAAGACAATGGTGGATGAACCGCGCTATATTGCAATTAGATCTCAATCATGGCGGTCCGCTGTTGTCACCCACGGCTCAGTAGCATAAATTTCTGGATCGTAAGTGTAAGGTCGTGGGTTCAAATGCGGCAGCATTCGACGGGTGCGCGCTACTGACGAGTCCCAATAGGACGGAACGGCCGCCTAGCGATTTTCTGGATGAGTGTTGGGTGCCTGCCTGAGTCTCTTTGCAGCGAACATTCACTGAAACCCAATAAATCCCCCGTTCCACTCACCAATTATCAGTAATCACCTTAGTAGCTTATATACCACCTCTGTTGGTGGCCGCTTGCAATGGAAGACGTTGTTCTGGGGGTCAGCCCTGTCCTCTGCACGTTCATAACATGCATGCCAGTGGAGGATGAGCTGCGCTGCATTGCGATTCGAATTCCCCTAGAAAGACATACCTTAAATGCACCTTGTAGCTAGAGAAGCCGGATCACGCTAAGAGACTCGAAATATTCGCGATAAGCTACTGCCAAGTACCGTTTGCAGTGATTTAAGAGTGGGCATGAAGGTGACGGGAGGTAAATGTATTGTGGTACACTGTACCCGTGTATTGGCTAAAAAAGCGACACCGAACGACGCGAGCAAGCTAGGGAAGGACATGTGGGACTATGCGATGAAGCGGCATGTTGAATCCAAACGTGGCGTCGTGTGTGTATTTCGCGTGTGTGTCTGGTCAGACAAACAAATGCAACGTGCATATCAGCATTTTGCAAACAACCACTAAGTGTACAATAAGAGGGTAAATTTATTTAGTATTTTGCACAACATAGTCAGACAAGACGGGGGAATCTCCAGACTGTTACACTCTGCCGTCTTTCGATGTGCGCATTTTTCACGCCGATTGGAAAGTGCCGGCACAAATCGTTCTTCCTTTGCCAAAACTATGTTTAATCTGGAGGCCGATAATGTGTTAGAAATTGTGAATTTTATTTTAAGTTTGTGAAAAATATCTAATTACCCCGTGTCCAGACTTTATGATGACCATGTATAGCTATTATGAGTGTTAATGATTAGTTACATTCTCAGGCTGTCGGCGATCAAAGCTCAAGGCTACCACAGAAGCTGCGGTAACTCATTGAGATAGATCGAAAACGGATTAGATTCCAGCTATCTACATTCGATTTCATCACTGGGCCAAAGTAACTACGCAATCTACAATGACTACTTCTTTTCAAGCTTGCTGAAGGATACTAGCGGTAGTCGTTCTATTCGCCCCTTCGGGCACTAAATTCCACCCAGGGAACCATCCGTATAACGGCAGCTATCAATCATCACGCACTAAACAAAAGTGGGAATGGAAAACTGCGAATCCCTGACCGTGCAATCGGTTCCACCGAAGTGCGCACCTGTATCGAACTGTGGCGTCTAACAGACTCGCTTGGAACTCTAAGAGTCAGAAACCAGCCAGAGTAGTCCCCGACTTCAGAGGCATAAGCCTTGGCACAAATACCTCGATGGTTAGCTCCCTCAAATTGGAGACTGTGTAGTTCTCTCCACAGAACTATCGTCAATTTTTATGCCAGGAAAGTCCTTTCCGTGTTGGAACAATGGTATATCACAGCCAAAAAAGCAGATGTGTGTAATAAGTAAGTTGGTTGTGTAGGAGCGGTGTTGGCGAAAACAGTGCTACTCAGATGCTCAAGTGCTTTAGCATTCTAGATGGTCGACTAAAGCCTCAGCGATAATTGCGTTCGTCATTCCCGTGTGCAACCAAGTCTCGGTGATAGCAATGACATTATATGACCCGGAAGCTTGGCGATCTTTCAATTCGGCCAGTTTATTAGAAAGACCCTGAACATTCGTATGCAAGCAGGCTAGTTTCTCGGTGGCTAGGAGCCCACAGAGAGGTGAAGGGGTCAAGTGTGGGAGAATGCCGATCGATGGGATGGGTGGTCAACAGTTACTCGTTATTTGAGGGGATAATGATACCTCGTTTGCAACTTGATTCGGCCAAGGTGCGTCCCAACCTTCGTTTAGACCTACGTCAGTGTCAAGTAAAGCAGCGGTCAAGTTACGCTTCTGTACATTCGTCAGGATGCTTGCTGCTCCTGTGCTTTAATATTTGAGCTGCGCAAAGCTTCTGCGACATTCAGAAGGAAGACGCTTCCGAATTTTCGCCATCGATCCAAAACATCCGTTGCTTATTGCTCTGACTGAACCACAAATTTTAGGATTCTAGGGCCGCATCCTCTATAAGTTGGTGAGAGAAGTATCCTGGTACTCGATAACGCCACAATTTTATCCAAAGGAAGTGCATAACGAATGAACCGCCCTGTAGTAAATCGTGCTTCCCGGTCTCTTGAACATCGTCAAAAGGCTGTTCTGGTATGTCATGTATGAAGATGGTGTTTAGGCGGTCTTGCTTGCTGTGTTCCACTTCGGTGTTTCTTTTTGGTTGTCGTGCGCTCCAAGGGACATCAGGATAGATGAGTATCCCACAGGATCCGTGTTTTAGAGCGCTTGCAGAGAGCATAACGTCTGTGGAGGATTCTAGAGTTACTCGAATAAGTCTGGGTTCACCATAGTGTGGCGAGTTCGGATGACGAGTAATTCATAATAGGTTTAGGTTTGACACTCATCTGCACGCACAATGAGTTCCGATGGTCTCAGTCGTTCGATAACTTATTCTACAACGTGATGGCGGAAGATTCGGGGACATTTGAGCATACAACAGTCCGGGCACTGTTGTTGGATCCCTTTTTCCTTGATCTTCAAGGTAAGGTAATCGTTTGTCCTGACTTGCTGGCAAGTGTTGATTGTTTACTGATGGTCCCTCTATTCGCGTTAACGGTGTATACAACATAAGTAGCCGCAACGGCGGCCTCCCGGCTGACGTTTGCAGCAATCTTTGCATATGTAACTGATGTTCCGGGGGGCTTTGTCTCGACAAGGGACATTTGATCTACAGGTACCGAGGGTTGGTGTTTGGCTGCATCATCCTTGTTAATGCCAGATGTCAGGTCTAGTGGAATTTGCTTAACCATACGTTTCGAGCGGTGCCTGATTTTTGTTGTCATGAGTACTGTTTGACTCTCGTAAGTACAGTCAGTGTTCGCCCGGTGTTCTAACAAAGTTGGAGAAGACAACAGAGATGGGGACGTGGCTGATTGCGGTTCAGGGGAAGCGGGTTGTGCAGAATTCCGTTGCTTAGAAGGTGCTAAGCTTCCGTGGTGCATACCCGCTTCCACTAGAGTAATCTTACCGTTTATTCTTTGCTCGGCTTCTGCGGTTAACCGGTCGCATTTCTGAGCTAGGATAAGCAAGCACATAATCAGTGGGATGGTGGAGCACGCAGTACACAGAACCAAAGTGCATCTTGGGAGCTATTTCGTTCACGCACCTGTTGTTGGGACACATTTCGTATGATACCATCCTAAACAGTGCGAGCAAGCCAGACCGATTTTAACTACTCGATGACATTCTCCTAACCCGCAAATGTCTTTTGCTTGGAGCCTTTTCGGATACGCATTTCTGCTATTTAACGTGGTGTCGTTACCTGACCCAGTGGGTTGGTTAGCGTTCTGTACTTTTGCAGCTTTGAGAGCGGCGCTATGGCGAGATAGGGCCGGCTTACGTTGACTAGTACTGCGATCACGGTTGTCAGATATTTCATTTAATATAGCCTGTTAGAGAACGCACCAGTGTTGCTGCATAAATTATTGAGGATGGTATTTTGCTAGACAATTGTAACTGCTTTCCTGGTTTATTGATTTGTCGTCGCGCTTTTGTTTGTTTGCGTTCTCCCTGCTCCTGTGATGTAAGTCCATTGATGTGGATAAGCGTAGATTAAAGGACCTAGGGCGTCATTTTGGATTCCAACTGTTTTTGAGCTACCAAATCCTTGTACAATCGAGATGTTAACAAGCGCAGGAGCCACGGTACAAAACACACCATCTATACTTGTATAACATTAGGGAGATCAGGAGTAGTTCACACGTTCGACTCACCGCCTGTGTCACGTGTTCGAACCCAGACTCCTGCATAGGCTTGGCACCAAACACAACAGATTGCAGCTGTACGGTAGGCAAACATCAATGAAAAAGGCAGGTATAGTACTGGTGCCTTCTACTGGCTCAGTAGGCGAGACATATCCGTGCACGAGTAGTATGGTTTGCTTTATAACACCTAGATAGCAGCTGAGCAGAGTATGAAGCACTGTCAAATGATGAAAACAGACGATGGATGAAGGCGAGCTTCAGCCTTCGCGCTGCTACAATATGCGCAACAGCTGCATGTGTGTGTGTGCGCAAATGAGACAGTGCACCGTTACCAATGCGCAGCTAATCGTTGCTAGATCAAGACGGAGAAAATTCGGCATACAAATATAAAATGTATGAAATTTTGCGAGGATACAAGTTCGACCGGTGTCGCGGGGGGATGCGAGAGCAGATCAGTAACAGCAAATAAAAGGGCATATTTGTCCACGTTACGCACATAAACACGTTGGGGCGAAGGGTACCCCCACTCAGTGATGTGAAACGGAGGGAAACAAATACGATAGGAAAGAACACGTAGGGGAAGAAACGAAGGGATGGTCACGTAAGGGTGAAAAAATCAAGTGTGATCAACTGTAATTCACGCGAATAGGGGTTTTGAACGAATATACACATATCACACTGACAAGAGTGAGCACAAACAGCGCCTCATGCCCTTGTCTATAGCTCTGATTTCTCTTCGTTTTGATCTGTAGTGGATAAGGGGAGAAAAAGAAGGGGGACTCATGAGAACGGAATGAGCATGTAGAAGGGGATCGGGGACAAACACGGACAGAACTGATATGCAGAGGATAAGAAACCAAATTCTGATCATATGAATTTGCCATGATACTTCAGGCACTAAAGTAGCGTACGGAGTATGGGCTACATCCAGGACTTTGTAGGTAAGCAAATCGGCTTATGCGAGAACACCGAGTAAGTGGGTAAATAAAAACGACCAAGCTGAACCAAGGGTTTGTATACTCTTATAAATCCCAGTAGGCAGGCCACTTGATTTTGTGAAGGATTACGCCAACAGGATTCCTCAACTCCATCTACTGTTGCCTGAAAAGCAAGTCGCCAGATTGAATGAGTCCTATAAGCCCATGTCCAAATGACATTTCAGCCGCCTCAACGACTGAGTGCTTGATTATACTGATCGCTCTCAGTACTTCGTTCTGCTAGTCTTGATGTGTTCATGTAGGTCCGAACGGAAACGTAGCCACACAACCTAAGCCCACTGTGCTCAAAAACCGGCTTGCATCTTTTTATTCAGTCGCAAGAAAATAACCCCCTGCAGTGTTATTCTTAAATGCTTAAAGCAATCATAAGCTATACCAATTACTTTTGAATCACTATGCTGTTGACTCCACTCAAAGGGCCCCCATGTGCAGGCTGCATAATCTTTATTCACCACTTCCTCTAACCGAATAGGACACTTTGAAGAATGTAGCCTGCCTCGGAGATCAGGTAGAGCTGATGGAAAGGAAAATTATTCTTTTGACCAGAATGCGGAACTATGGCTGGTGTCTTGATCTGGCGAACGAGGTAGTTCCAGTGGAGTAACGTTAAAGAGTTTCGTTGCAACTAGACTAGATCAGACAAACGTCACGTCTTCCTAGCGAGACCCAGCAGTAGAGCGCATTTCCATAGAAACGAACGGGATCGAAATGTGTGACCTTTCTCATGCGAGACACTGCCTTAAGACACTTAGCAGTGGAGGATGGCGATAGACAGCACCAACCAACCCCTAGCCAAAGTTAAGTAAAAAAATATACTCCATATGCCCGACTGGGTAGATTCAGCGCGATTCAACGTCCAGTATCTAGCATAGACCTGCAGCGCAAAGCATAGCGATAGCCCTTAGAGCCATGAATTACATTAATACTGAGTCGCTCATAGTACGGTAATGACAGGAGCTGGTTCGGCGACAAGCCAGATCCTAATAAACTGAGGATGAGCTGCAAGCCATGATCAACACTCGTAAAGACTACATGTTGAAATAATTAAGATGTTATCAGTTGTCTATCTAACAGGCCATGCGACGTTCAAAATGGACAAATGCTGCGGCGAAAAACTCAGCAGAATGGGTTTCCGAAACCCAATTCTCAATAATGCCAAAAAAGTTCAGTACACTTCAAAGCAAATGGCTAAAAGTTGAAATTAATCGGGGATAAGCGAAGGAGAGTCACTCGTTTCTCAGAAGTGTCGTGGAAAAGATAATGGTCATGCGACTGACAAGAATGATACCAATCGCGTCCAGCTAGTCTTTTCACCGACCACAAGCTGGACACCGAGACAGGTTGCATTTGTTTCTCTTCAGATGACGAAACCGGTTCGCGATAACCAAAAACAGAAAATAAAGCGGTGAAGCGGCTCAGAAAGGAGAGCAAACTAGCAGGACGACGAGACACAACATGAAGGGATTGTCGGATCAACGTGCCGCATCTCTAGGAACCGATCATCCCACTGCAGAATATTTCAATACCTAGCCTCTGCTGTACCTTTGAGTTTAATTGTCACCGTTCGCTACAACACCGTCTCATCCACATGTTTTTCGCATCCGAAGAAACACCGACTTTCGCTCATGTGAAGTCGTACAAACAATTGACTGGCCATCTGAAAGACAAAAGAAATTGTGGTCAACTCGCATGGGCAGCGCACGTTAACTGCTCAGTCCTCACGCGTAACCTCGCTCCGTTTTCCTAGCTGTCTATACGATTCCTCGGCCAAGTTGTCCCTTTCGACAACAGAATTAATCTGAACGGCAAACGAGTTGCGCTGAGAAGCATACAAGCTGAGTCTTTAATCAATTACTTTGAGCCGTACTTGCGCCGCTCACTTGTGCAGGTGTGTAAGTGTGCGTGTATAGCCCGGCGCCTTCAGCCAATAGGACCTCAGACGCACCAAGTCATAGGGGTGCAGGTGGGACGCTTCAGCTCCTACAAGATACAGTGTCGGTGGCCGATGCACCATGTGGGCCTTTGTTTCTCTGTCCAAAGAAGCGATTCTCACCAATTAGAACGAGAGTAGGTTTGAAGGAAGACAAGGTAGGTATAACGAGCCACAGGCAAATAAGTTTGCCGTGTGAATTTGAACGTGCAGTTCACCTAAACGCACTGGTTGGCTTGTATGTTCGGCACTCGAGGGAGGTGAAGAACGTCATACTGAAAGCGTACGAGGAACGAGACGATTGGAAGCACGTCGCTTGCACACTGAAGGTGAACAGGAAAACTTGCCGCAACTGGATACGGGCGTACGAATCGACGGAACCGTTGGGGCAGCATGGGGGAGTCCGTCGCAGAGCACTGGGAGAAAGCCGCGTCGACTCTCTGGTGGAGTGGGTTTCTGCGGAGCCTACTGTTACCCTTGAACTCCTTCGTTTGCGGTTGAAGGCGGAGTTCGAACTTTCGGTAAGTACCAGCACCGTCTCACGATACTTGGATGGTAGACTGATAACAATGAAGAAACTGCACACTATTCCGGAGTCCATGAACACGCTGGAGAACAAAAGCGACGCAGGTCATTCGTTTTGCAGCTCATGGATTACGAGATGGAAGGAAGGAAACCGGTGTGGATTGATGAGGCCAACTTCAACTTATTTTTCTCCCGCACTCGTATCCGCTCATGACGTGGTAGTCGAGCGCAATGTACAGTGGCGAACAGCCGGGGACCGAATGTTCTTGTCGGCGCCATGACAAACAACGGCTTGATAACGTGTTCAGTTCTGAGAAGAAGTTACAACAAGCGAAGGTGCGTTCAGTGGCTGCGACAAGTGCTTGATACCAAGGGATCAGGGTTTGTGGAAAGGGGTCATTCGATATGTGACAACGCGCCCTGTCACCTGCACGTGGAACACGTTTTCCTTGAGGAACCGGACCGCTCTGGAAGATTTTTACGCATTGCACCATACTCTCCAGCTCTCAATCCCATCGGGTGCATCTGGAGTATAACAAAGGCTAATGTAAAACAGGCAATGATGGCACGGTACTCCGAGATGCTCCTGAAGGCGTTCTAAATAAAAGCGAGTGGCGGATTCGCATTTTGGAGCACGCGGTGTCTAAAACACGGGCTTTAGGGACGCAGCGGCACTGCGAACAAATGATTCAGCATGTCAGTAAGAATTACTGGCGTGTTGTTCATTTGGCCGATCTGTAAAACATTCAGTTGACAGTAAACTACTTGTGCTAAGCGAGTGTTGTTCTTACTTTATTATGATGACGGGTCAGAGTGCACTTTATAGCCTGCTAGAAATAGCCAGTTCTCTATTCGGGGAACACCGTGGATTTCCGGTAAGTTCGTGCGTGTGGTCGCATACCCGTTTCAGTTGTCGCGTTGTAGAACAATCATGTGAGAGCTTGACAAATAGATGCCACTCTAACACGGTTGTGTGGCAAGCGATTATATTCTGCCGCCTGTCGTTCATTGTGTTTGGAGAGTCAGTGAATAGGAACTTTGATAAGGGCATAATAAATAACAAAATTGAACTATGCAGACTTGACCGACATGGGTAGTGTGTGTGGCCGTTTGCCTGATTGCTTAACCCATTACACCAACGCAGGCGGCTGGACGCTGCATGCGGAAACGCAGAGCATGTAGGGCAAGCACAACTAACGTGTATCACGCAGTCTAGGGAAATATTTCCGAATAGGTATTTGTCAGTTGTGGACTGTATTCGAACACACCACAGGGTTGCGATGAGAAGGTGCTTTGAAGCCGCAAATAAAATGTGCTTGCTTCGGCGAATCACATTTACTCGTCAGGTTGTATCGTCTGTACAGGGATGAGTGGCTCCGCATGACGCAAACCGGTCTGTGCGTTCATATGACATTTGCCATTTGCAAGTGGAAGTTGCTATTTCGCTCCATCCCAATTCGACGTGGGTAAATGATGCTCAGCACCGTCATTTCACGTACCAGGCTCCGATGACTCGGCCACGTGTTACGCATGCCAGCCCACCAGCTCCCGCGACGTACGTGCGTTGTTTGCGCGCCGGGGGTGTGGATGGAAGAAGAGGAGGGGTGGCCAAACGATGACTTGGTCGAGAGGAATAAGGCTCACACCTCTGAGCTGGTCTCAGCTCCCTGGTTGGGGTCCGAAAGACGATGAACACGTTTGGTTGAACACACTTGCTGACATGGCAATGAGCCGACCTCAGTGGCGTTCCTGCTGTGAGTTTCTTTGTCCCACCCCATCCCTCTTAGCCTCCCCCTCCAACCACGATCTCATTATTTAGCCTTATATAATTTTGCATAGCAATTTTTTTTGATGCACAGTAGCCGGCTGGTAGCTTACCAGAACGATGCCCATCCGTTACCGGTAGCTCAGCCGGCTTGCACCAGTTGCTTTTTTTCTCCTTTTTTCTATGTATTGCGGCACAATAGCTGAGGTGTTCCCCACCTCTAGCTAGCGTCTATAGTGATGATGCTGCTGATGTGTGTTGCGGCACAATTGTTGTGGTGTTTTCCACCTCTAGCTAACCTATATAACGATGACAAGCAGAAGTTTAACCTGGTTGCGCTAGTTTGAGTATACGCCACGCAAATCTACCCACTGCGTTATGGCGAAGAATTCTTTTTTGTTTGCCGGGAATTTGATTGTGTGAAACTTGACGGGGGAAATGTGGCAATGATTAAAGTTGGTAACCAAATAACTGCCGTTGTTTACCCCCCCCCCCACTTCCAGGTCTGAGACTAATCTTCCTCACCTT